AATTTTTCAGCATCTTCATTTCGCTCTTAGCTAGAACTTACCATCGATCCACGCAAAAAGGTCTTTGTGTCGACAGAAGACGGTCAATGTGGGCTTTTAAATTCCTTCTTGTAGCTAGATTTTCTTTCGACTGTGCAAATTTCGACAATAATTCGCCGGACTTCTCTACTTCGTTGACAACTTGCGAATTCTGAGTTACCTTGTCATCAACTTTGCTAGCTACAACAGCGACGGCAGAAAAATCTCCTTTGGCCGATGCCACCACCAGTTCCTCTATTTATTATTATTATTATTATTATTATTATTATTATTATTATTATTATTATTATTATTATTATTATGCTAATTCATTTGCACGGCTTTCTGAGTATTCCTCAATATTGTCGACGATACATAAATTATCACAGTAACCGTTCTTATCATTCCGCTCGTTGACTCACATCGCTCAGTTTAACGCAATTAAGTCTATGTATTTTGTTCATAACTTGTAGTACTTGAAAAACACTTTCCTTTACATATCGTAGCACCGTGCTATTGCCTTTCTTTCTTTCTTTCTTTTTTTAATGTTTTGGAATTTTTCGTCCCGAAGATACTCAGTTTTCCGCGTAAAAGTCCATGATTCGATGTCATTTCCTTATATTCATAAGGCCGTTTTTGAATGATCCGTCGCCGGCTCATCCCTCGCTGCCATTCGAAGAAACAACCACCTAGCAACTATCCTGCTTGAAGACCCGATTTGTGTTTCGAGGACACAAATTCTGTAAACTATTTCAAACGACAGGAAAACGCGATGACTAACGTTCAGTTTCAAGTTCGAGTTTTACGAACGGTCAACCACTGATCCAAAACGGAAATTGCATTACTGCATTAAATCGTGTAGTCAGATAGTTTTAAGTTTTAGTTCGCAGGAACATAACCATCCTTTATAAGTTAAATTGTTTTGTTTTCCTGTGATGCAATGATTTTTGTCTGTTGGTTCCTTAAACAGGATGGGCTTGTCTCTTGTGAAGACCACAAGTCTGGCATCGCCTTCAAACAGAGCACCTTTAAAGCTAACGCAACAACCGGCAAAAAAGCCTCCTGACCAAGCTGGCCTTTCCGTGTTCAGGCGAGGTTATGATGGGTTGGGTGGACATACCAAGTTTCTTGCTCCGTTAAGACCAGTCAAGATAGCATCACGTAAAGTGGCCAAACCCAACGGCATTTCAAAATTTATCAAACACACCAAGTGTAGCAGGGCAACTGAGCCTCCTTTACCTGCAATGAACTTAGACTTCACCTGAGACACAAAAAAGATGTCACTGAACGTTAATCATTAGTGTTGGCTTGATTGGGAAATCCCTGGTGCTATGACAGACAGTGTAGGTGAAACTCTTTAAATCAGTGTCTGTTAAGTTTGACTGCTATAAAAGAGAACCTGTGAACTGAATTATCTATCTAGTTTCGTTTTGAAATAATTTAGCTCTATCCTTTCTTGAAGTTTATTTTGATTTATCTGGTGCATCTTGTAAAGGAAAACAGTCCTGTCGATGAAAAAAAAATCATAGCGTCACTGATTACATCTAAGCAAGAATTTTCTTGCGATATTTTGATTTTATTAACTTGTGTTTAACGTTTATGATTTTCTTTTTTTCCCCTTCATTTCTTGTTGTTATGCTGAAGCTGTGAAGTTTTTGTGCCCGTAAGTTCCACCATATTGGTCCTAACTATGTAAATCATAGCAAGCAATTCAAGAATTTCGTTGAGTGGCAACCTAAATGTAGTGTTGGGCTCAAGTAACGAAAATCTTATCGTCCATAGGAATTTGCATGCATCGTTATTACGTAATTTGTCAAATATAACTAGGAAATCTTCGGAGACATTAAACGTAATTGTGTGTAGTCTAATTATGCTCTCAAGTATACCAAGAAATTCACTGTGTGATGTGCCAAAGCCTATGTGTTAGCATACCTTAATTTTTGAAATAAAAAATTGAATTTCAAGGATTCATTTCTTATTGTAGCGACTCGTGATGTTTATATGTAATAACAGTAATCAGCGCCATCATCGTCATCGTCACCGTCGTCATCATATCATATTTAACCAGGGTAACTAAAAATAGAAATGAAATAACAATAAAAATCCTAAAAAGATTACAATATATGTAGTAAAACATAAAAAACTATATACAATTATTAAAAATTGTAAAAACTATTACTAAGTCCTTAAGCATGGTTTTAAATTAATAGAGATTTAATTTCTTTCAAGTATGACGGTAGATTATTAAAAACGTGTGCTCCGAAATAATAGCAACCTTTCTTAGCAGTTGCTGTGTAAACTGAATAATTATCTGATGATTTGACAAAATCTTCCTTGAACAGATCTGGAGCATTGTTATGGTCACATTTAAATACAATATGCATAGTAGAACGTCCCTTAAGTGACATCCAACTTGGGCCCCATTTATATGGTCTCGGACGGCCGAGGTAACTTTTAGCTTATTTCTTTGTTAAATCAACCAACCGTTTACATTAGGATTGCAAACCCGTCTCGGGAGGCGAGACGACTCGGGTAGGCGAGGGCCGCCAAGCGGAGCGCCATACTCATAGAACCCGTGAATCGCTCAATAATGGCTAGCGGTATCGCTCATGGGCACGTACGTCCGACTACGGCGGCGGCGACGACGTCGCGCAACATGGCGGCCATACTCCAGCTATTAATTTGACCGAGAAATGTAGACCTTGGTTTACAGCATACATCTTTGGTATTGGACATCCATGTTATGATCAATTGACACTTGTTTAAGTCTTATTAGCCCATTAAGGTTATTTCGGGCAGCCATGTACTCTTTATTTTGACTGATTTTTGTTCATATAACTAATTTCTATGTACAATAAAGTTGTTGTTGCAAGGTATCCACTGACCAGTATCATTTGACCACATTGTGGGGCTCAAGTTTTGAGCTCATGGTGATCACGCGTTGTTTTTAAGTTGACCGCTGACCAAGTACTGGTTTTTCGATTGGATCGCTGGCTCAAGCCAGGGTTACTGTAATCAGGGCCGGGTTGTTCGGAAGCCAGTGAACGATAACCCAGGACTAAAAGTTAACCAAAATATAATTTTTCTTGCATGAAAATGTTTTTCACTGTTTATGTTTTGTGTAGTTTGAGATTATTCAAACTTAGAGGGCCAAACTATAAATAGAAAACCTCACCCCACAGTTTCAAAGACTAAAATCAAAATTCCCGCTTATCCTGGGTTGGCTTAATCGGGCTTTGAACAACCCGCCCCAGGAGCTCCGCTTTTAGGCTTGGCTAAATCTATATATTCGTTATAATCCATCAAATATTTTCGCTCGCGCGCGATTGCTCTAAACACGTAACGTGACTGAATATTTCCCAGCTGAAACGGGAATATCCGAGTGATATTCCCAAATTTTCAAAACCGCGCGTGTTGCGAAAAATGTTTGAAGGAAAAACACACAATAGTCTCCATTTTGCGCGAAAATATGTTCGGGCACTCGTCCTTGGACATTATCTGTTCCTCAAAGCTCGCAGTTTTCCTTGAACTACGCCCTGGGAAAACTGTTCGCTTCTCGGAACAGATAATGTCCGCGGACATATTTCCGCCCGAAATGGAGGCTATTGTTTACATAATAGGGCTATTTTCTCTAGAACTTCATAGATGGTCTATCAATGTATTCGGCGCCTGCAACTGGTTGGAAGTTTAGAGCCAATACCAGTGGTGTTACTTGTTTGTTCTATAGAGGAAATAGACTAATGCTCTCAGTAATTTGCCGACCTAAAAGAGATTCGTGTTTTAAGATTCGTCACCTTTGTAATTAAGTCGATGGAAATTCTCATTCTATTGTCTTTTCTGGTGAAAACATCTGCCGTTTAAGTGAAAAGCCAGTTGATAAAGAAAACTACTTTGGTAAGACTTATTATCCCCAACTGAACTGAAAAACTATAAACAATTATTTGCGTTTTCGTTTTTCAGCTTCGTGCTTGTTTTCGTTTGATAACCCTAGCGTGCCGTATTCCCCAAAACACTTTCTATAGGCACGCATTGTCCACGACAGATATTCCTTACTTTTTCTAAAGTATTCCCTACCTTAAAAGAAACAGATAAGCCTGGATATTAAAAACATCTAAATTATTCGTGAGCCTAAAGTGAGAAATTATATTCGTAAAATTTATCTTTTCAATAAGCATCTTAACACAAGGTAAAAAAAAACATTGTTATTAACTTTTTTAGAGTGAGTATTAAAAGAAATGTGGTAAATTGCCTCTGTTTGTCTGTCGGAGAAACTTCTCGGAAGAATATTTTCACTGACTGATGTAATTCCCATAAATGTATTTTCTTGCTCTATNCTATTTCAAACGACAGGAAAACGCGATGACTAACGTTCAGTTTCAAGTTCGAGTTTTACGAACGGTCAACCACTGATCCAAAACGGAAATTGCATTACTGCATTAAATCGTGTAGTCAGATAGTTTTAAGTTTTAGTTCGCAGGAACATAACCATCCTTTATAAGTTAAATTGTTTTGTTTTCCTGTGATGCAATGATTTTTGTCTGTTGGTTCCTTAAACAGGATGGGCTTGTCTCTTGTGAAGACCACAAGTCTGGCATCGCCTTCAAACAGAGCACCTTTAAAGCTAACGCAACAACCGGCAAAAAAGCCTCCTGACCAAGCTGGCCTTTCCGTGTTCAGGCGAGGTTATGATGGGTTGGGTGGACATACCAAGTTTCTTGCTCCGTTAAGACCAGTCAAGATAGCATCACGTAAAGTGGCCAAACCCAACGGCATTTCAAAATTTATCAAACACACCAAGTGTAGCAGGGCAACTGAGCCTCCTTTACCTGCAATGAACTTAGACTTCACCTGAGACACAAAAAAGATGTCACTGAACGTTAATCATTAGTGTTGGCTTGATTGGGAAATCCCTGGTGCTATGACAGACAGTGTAGGTGAAACTCTTTAAATCAGTGTCTGTTAAGTTTGACTGCTATAAAAGAGAACCTGTGAACTGAATTATCTATCTAGTTTCGTTTTGAAATAATTTAGCTCTATCCTTTCTTGAAGTTTATTTTGATTTATCTGGTGCATCTTGTAAAGGAAAACAGTCCTGTCGATGAAAAAAAAATCATAGCGTCACTGATTACATCTAAGCAAGAATTTTCTTGCGATATTTTGATTTTATTAACTTGTGTTTAACGTTTATGATTTTCTTTTTTTCCCCTTCATTTCTTGTTGTTATGCTGAAGCTGTGAAGTTTTTGTGCCCGTAAGTTCCACCATATTGGTCCTAACTATGTAAATCATAGCAAGCAATTCAAGAATTTCGTTGAGTGGCAACCTAAATGTAGTGTTGGGCTCAAGTAACGAAAATCTTATCGTCCATAGGAATTTGCATGCATCGTTATTACGTAATTTGTCAAATATAACTAGGAAATCTTCGGAGACATTAAACGTAATTGTGTGTAGTCTAATTATGCTCTCAAGTATACCAAGAAATTCACTGTGTGATGTGCCAAAGCCTATGTGTTAGCATACCTTAATTTTTGAAATAAAAAATTGAATTTCAAGGATTCATTTCTTATTGTAGCGACTCGTGATGTTTATATGTAATAACAGTAATCAGCGCCATCATCGTCATCGTCACCGTCGTCATCATATCATATTTAACCAGGGTAACTAAAAATAGAAATGAAATAACAATAAAAATCCTAAAAAGATTACAATATATGTAGTAAAACATAAAAAACTATATACAATTATTAAAAATTGTAAAAACTATTACTAAGTCCTTAAGCATGGTTTTAAATTAATAGAGATTTAATTTCTTTCAAGTATGACGGTAGATTATTAAAAACGTGTGCTCCGAAATAATAGCAACCTTTCTTAGCAGTTGCTGTGTAAACTGAATAATTATCTGATGATTTGACAAAATCTTCCTTGAACAGATCTGGAGCATTGTTATGGTCACATTTAAATACAATATGCATAGTAGAACGTCCCTTAAGTGACATCCAACTTGGGCCCCATTTATATGGTCTCGGACGGCCGAGGTAACTTTTAGCTTATTTCTTTGTTAAATCAACCAACCGTTTACATTAGGATTGCAAACCCGTCTCGGGAGGCGAGACGACTCGGGTAGGCGAGGGCCGCCAAGCGGAGCGCCATACTCATAGAACCCGTGAATCGCTCAATAATGGCTAGCGGTATCGCTCATGGGCACGTACGTCCGACTACGGCGGCGGCGACGACGTCGCGCAACATGGCGGCCATACTCCAGCTATTAATTTGACCGAGAAATGTAGACCTTGGTTTACAGCATACATCTTTGGTATTGGACATCCATGTTATGATCAATTGACACTTGTTTAAGTCTTATTAGCCCATTAAGGTTATTTCGGGCAGCCATGTACTCTTTATTTTGACTGATTTTTGTTCATATAACTAATTTCTATGTACAATAAAGTTGTTGTTGCAAGGTATCCACTGACCAGTATCATTTGACCACATTGTGGGGCTCAAGTTTTGAGCTCATGGTGATCACGCGTTGTTTTTAAGTTGACCGCTGACCAAGTACTGGTTTTTCGATTGGATCGCTGGCTCAAGCCAGGGTTACTGTAATCAGGGCCGGGTTGTTCGGAAGCCAGTGAACGATAACCCAGGACTAAAAGTTAACCAAAATATAATTTTTCTTGCATGAAAATGTTTTTCACTGTTTATGTTTTGTGTAGTTTGAGATTATTCAAACTTAGAGGGCCAAACTATAAATAGAAAACCTCACCCCACAGTTTCAAAGACTAAAATCAAAATTCCCGCTTATCCTGGGTTGGCTTAATCGGGCTTTGAACAACCCGCCCCAGGAGCTCCGCTTTTAGGCTTGGCTAAATCTATATATTCGTTATAATCCATCAAATATTTTCGCTCGCGCGCGATTGCTCTAAACACGTAACGTGACTGAATATTTCCCAGCTGAAACGGGAATATCCGAGTGATATTCCCAAATTTTCAAAACCGCGCGTGTTGCGAAAAATGTTTGAAGGAAAAACACACAATAGTCTCCATTTTGCGCGAAAATATGTTCGGGCACTCGTCCTTGGACATTATCTGTTCCTCAAAGCTCGCAGTTTTCCTTGAACTACGCCCTGGGAAAACTGTTCGCTTCTCGGAACAGATAATGTCCGCGGACATATTTCCGCCCGAAATGGAGGCTATTGTTTACATAATAGGGCTATTTTCTCTAGAACTTCATAGATGGTCTATCAATGTATTCGGCGCCTGCAACTGGTTGGAAGTTTAGAGCCAATACCAGTGGTGTTACTTGTTTGTTCTATAGAGGAAATAGACTAATGCTCTCAGTAATTTGCCGACCTAAAAGAGATTCGTGTTTTAAGATTCGTCACCTTTGTAATTAAGTCGATGGAAATTCTCATTCTATTGTCTTTTCTGGTGAAAACATCTGCCGTTTAAGTGAAAAGCCAGTTGATAAAGAAAACTACTTTGGTAAGACTTATTATCCCCAACTGAACTGAAAAACTATAAACAATTATTTGCGTTTTCGTTTTTCAGCTTCGTGCTTGTTTTCGTTTGATAACCCTAGCGTGCCGTATTCCCCAAAACACTTTCTATAGGCACGCATTGTCCACGACAGATATTCCTTACTTTTTCTAAAGTATTCCCTACCTTAAAAGAAACAGATAAGCCTGGATATTAAAAACATCTAAATTATTCGTGAGCCTAAAGTGAGAAATTATATTCGTAAAATTTATCTTTTCAATAAGCATCTTAACACAAGGTAAAAAAAAACATTGTTATTAACTTTTTTAGAGTGAGTATTAAAAGAAATGTGGTAAATTGCCTCTGTTTGTCTGTCGGAGAAACTTCTCGGAAGAATATTTTCACTGACTGATGTAATTCCCATAAATGTATTTTCTTGCTCTATATTGATAATTCTCATTGTCGATAGCCACATACATTAGGAGGTAACTGAATTTCTTTTAGATATATTTACAAATGATTAATATTTCATCCCAAAATTAAAGAGGGCTCATCACACAGAATATCTAAGTTCTTTTTTTTTCAAAAAAGTCGGAGGTGCAGACATGATGTGGCGTGTCACCCTTCACTTGGTCTTTGTTTTCGTGTTTTCGAAAGTAATCGACTCACTCCAAGAAAGGTATTGCTTTCATTCCTTTATTCTTATGTCTTAGTGCCACATTTCAGCCTTGTAAGATTTTCATAGACCATTGTTGTCACTTTCCCTCTGCCTCGTTTTTCAAGACTGATGAATTGGAACAAAATCAAGCTGTGGGTTTGAAAATCAGGGACGATATTACCTCGAACAGTTAATCGAAGACAAATGTTGTGAAGAACTTTTCGTGAGGCAAATATTTTAAAGGTATCTAAAAAGAAATATGCAAAATCTGTTTTAACCCAGCCATTGAGTCGGTTCTCATTTAAATTCAAACGAGACCACCATCAGGAAATAATAAGGACGATATGTTCTTTGATTTATATTTGGATGAATATTCAAACTGTGCAATTTTCCACCATGACTATTACCAATTGAAGACCAAGGAAAAATGAAACAGACTGAATCACGAAAAATGATGGGTTGAAAACAAAGGAAATGTGTTTTTGGTGCAGTAAAAACAATAGAAACGTGCTGGCGGCACACTCTTGAGTGGCGTTAGTGTAAAAACAAAAGAAATGTTGTGGTGCACAGTCAAAATATTGGTGGTATTGGTGGGCAAAAACACTACAGTTGTGGTGGCGGAGGAGTGAACACAATAGAGATGTGGTTGTGTGGTGGTGGTGGCTCTGACAGTGGAGGTAGACGTGGTCGAAAACGATACATTTACTGAGTCCGAGAAACAATGATTGCTCATACAAGCAAGTTTAAGGATAACGAGAGTCTCTTTTCATACTTTCTCAGAGGCAAAGTTGACCATCCTCTGGAAATTCTACTTGATCAAGAAAAGTATGACTTTAGGATAAGACCAAATTACGACGGTGAGCCAATAAATATTCCATACATCATTGGTTTTTGTTGTTTCGCAACATTAGATATTGCAATGTTGATTCAGCAGGTAATAAAAGGGACGTCATTTTCTAATACTGTAACTACAGGTCCCAGGCCCCAGCTGGAATCAATGAAAAAAAAAAACTGAAGAGTTAAGAACAAATAGTTTTGATTTAAATGTCTGTTTGCTCTTAGCTCTTGGATTATGGTGCAAAATGCAAGCCAAAACACGGCGTGAGACACTTCCAGACCTCACAGGAGAAATCTCTTGTCTTTTCCACTGAATTTCTTGAAGACATCACGTGAAAATCCCATTGTGGGTTTTTTCAATCTGTTGTCTTTTCTCTATTTCCAGGGGGGCCTGTTGTTGTCACAGTTGGTTTTTACTTGTTGTCTATCAACTCCATCAATGTAGTTGATATGGTTAGTATATACTTCATGATCATTATTGTTCAATTTTGTTTTTCACAGTGAAAAACTGGGTCTCTATGAAATTATCACATTCGTATTTTTCGCCGCCGGCGCAATGTGGCGACATATCAGGGACTGTTTCACAACGTCACCGGCGCAAATTTAGACTTCAGATAGAGATCCGGAGCTAAAACAATGGAGAAAATGGCCGGTTGCTGTCGAAGAAAAGTTGCATTTTGTAGGTTTAATATGCAACATTGTTAGTTTTAGCATATGGCTTACAGAGGTCAATAAATAGATTTTGTCATGCTTGCCTCTGTAGTCCGTCTATAAATTGGGGATATTTTACTCCAAAATATGACCATTTCAGACATAAGTTAATATGGGAAGTGGCTTTTTATTAGCAAAAAGGCAAGAATTTTCTCGATCTTATAACGCCCAGTATCTCTTTTAGCATACGGCTTTGATACTAGCAAAAATTTTCATCATATTTTGACCGTTGGAAGTTTTGGTTTTGACTGAACTTCAGCTCTTTCGGTGTCTTAAGGTGAATTCTCTTTGTTGAATCCCATGAGAGGAAAACTGTCTATCATTGTACTCTTGGTTCTTGCCTCGACAAAGTGTGGCGTACTATTATTATTATTATTATTATTATTATTAATATAAATGATAATATTTTTTAATAATTACTAATAATAATGTCTTTATTCATTCGATACAGTACATATCAAACGTTACATGAATTTTAAAAAGGATTAAAATAAGGCACTTACAGTAAGAATTTCTCATATTGCTAAATTGTATTTAAAACTAAGCCTACTTATTTTTATTAACTATTTAAATCTTGATGTTATAAAGTATACATAAAAATATTAACTACTTATTAACCGAAAGTGAGGTCTTTACGGGAAAATCCCAAACCGAAATTTGGCGCCTTTTTTTGGCCAGTTACGTTGTTTTGACTAAAGAAGCCGGACCCACCTGAACTGTTGTCCCACGTTGGGATTTACTTTGAACCTGCAACCGTTCGATTGACAGCAGTTGAAATCTCTAAAGAGACAAGAGTATTCCAAAACCTCCTCTGAAAACAAACAGTACACTTAGACATGCAAAGTATCATTTGCGGGACGAATAATCACTGTCAGGCTCCGTCCACACTACGCCGGAGAAATGTGAAACGGAGCTTTGTTTCTCCGGTTAGGCCTACCATCCACACTAATCCGAAAACGGAGCTTTTAGAAAACGCTCTCGAAAACGGAGGAAATTGAAAAGGAGCTTTACGTTTTAGTGTGGACGAAAAACATTTTGAAAACGGAGCTTTTCGAAAACAATGATGTCACCATGTTTTCAATCGAATTTGAAGCTTTAAAGTCTGTTTCTACGTTTAGCAATAATTTCACCTCGTCGTCCGACCACTAAAAGTTGTTGTTTATGTTGTTTCCCTCGGATCTGTTCTTTGTTCAGCTGGACATTTTTCTTTGACTTCCGTTCAAACAGATTTAAAATATGGGGAGAACAACAAGCGGTGGAGCCATGTGGGTTCAACTAGTACCTTGATATACGCATGCTCACGGTTCTGTCGCCTGTGGTTACGGCGTTTTCAAATTTCTTCGGCGTGGTGTGGAGGCAAAACATTTTATCAGTTTTCTAGTATGTATGAAGTGAAACCTCCGTTTTCAAATTCCTCAGCGTAGTGTAGACGGGGTCTAAGTGCATGTCGCATTGCGCGTGGGCGCTTACCCTCCGTAAAGCGTCTCCGTTTTCCCAAGTGATTTGGCGTTGCATCACGGGTATGACAACTGCTTTGTTTATTACAAATGCGTGATTTAATTGTGGCATAACATATCATGACAACAAAAAGAGTATCAAAAATTAACGGTGTAAACTGGCCCAAAGATAGTGCGGAGACGGTAAATGTATTTCTTGTTTCTTTCTTTCTTGTTCGTTTTCAACACTTTGCACAGGATTTCACGTTTGATGTTTTCTTAAGGCAACAATGGATCGACAAAAGACTGGATCATGGAACCAATCAGACGTTATACCTCAGCAATCATGTGAATGACCTTATTTGGATACCTGACTCGTATTTTGTGAACGCCAAAAATGGTGAAATGCATGATGTCACAAGCAGCAATGTGATGATCATGTTGGCTCCGGGGGGATTGGTTAAGTACAATGCACGGTACGTACGGAGATAACGTAGAGGAAAGCATTCATTAGGGACTAATTGGTCAAGTACATGCATGGGAGAGATTAACAAACCCAGATTATTAGGAATTTCTACAAAAACTCTCATGTAGTCTTTAATTACCATTAACTTTCCGTTTCCCTTCAACAAACTTTGTAAACATTCAATAAAGAGACGTCCTCACTGTGACGGATGTTTACAAGTGGTGGCCGACCAAATTGATTTTGATCGATAATCCCGCCTCTCCCAGAGGCATTACGTTCATAATGCAAAGCTCACTATGACCGAGTTGAGTCTTCATTTTCGTTTTACTTTCCCTTAAAATACCTTCGTACAAAAAAAATTCGTTGCTAAGTAAGTTCTGTTCACTGTATTTACTCAAAATAGCGCCTTTTCGCTCGTTAAAATCGCGGACTTTTTGATGTGACGCTACTTCGAGAACGTGGCTTGATCAGGGGTAGAGCTTATTAAAAACAGGTAACATTAAGAAACATTTTAGAACGTTATCTTTTATCCCAAAATGATAATATCGGGAACCAAACCTGCGTTAAAATGGTCTCTTTCTCTCTTTTTGGTATTCCAGGATCACTATCAAAGCTTATTGTCCCATGAATCTACAAGATTTTCCAATGGACGTACAAAGATGTCCTATCACCATAGAAAGTTGTGAGTGTTCTGTTTTTTGGTTTTTGTTTGATTTCACCCGTCCGGATTGGGCTGAATCTCATTTATGTTTGTAGATAAGTTCTGGATGGAATTTCATTTAGCACTAAAATGGTAAGACTAATTCAAATAATGAATTGGTATTAAGCCGACAGTTGATTCAGAGCCAACTTTCTGCTTGTAAATGTGAACAATCAACAGAAAAAAAAATGTTTTCCTTTTTATACCAGAACTCAAAAAGCCTTATCAGCGATATTATTTTAATCTTTGCTAACGGACCTCGGTCTCATGATGTAATTATGTTCATAGATGGGTACAGTGATACGCACATCACTTTTCGATGGGAAACTTCAAGTGGAATGGACTTTGTACCCGATACTCTGCAAATGCATCCTCAGTATATTCTTACTGATATGGAACTGTCCCAGTCCTTCACGGCTTATGTTGCAGGTACGTTACCGGATACACTTAACAGAAAATCCGAAATATATTCTTCAAACTGTAGGTTAGCCCTAGTTTTTGGCGTTTTGGTGTAAATCTGTTCTAACAACGTAATATTAAAGCCTCACTAGAAGTAAAGCACATGTATGCACTTTGTTCTGTTCTTTAAAATGAAATTAAAGTTCGTATTGGCGCGCTTAAGAATCGAAAGGCTCTTAAAACTACTAACACAACTAAAAGTAAAAACATAAATAATATCAAAAAAAGGTTGCAAAATGGCTTTCTTTCTTGTAAAAAAGCTCGATCAAAATGGATCAGTTCTGATTTGGGTTATAATTTCAGGGAACAAGTCAGAGCGAGGGTGTGTCTGAACTTGGGAGAATATTCGATATGATCAGCCATCTGATGATCATATCTGACAAATTAGCAGGATGTGTTTTTATCACAATTAAAGCCAGATAGCGGAAGAAAACGACTCTTGATCGTGGTCTTCTGACAAGGCCGTGACTTTTCTTTTGTTATGTTTTTGGTTCTCCATCATCTAAATCGTTCTTAACTGTTATGGAGTTGTCTTGATTTTGAATTCATGTTTTTTTAGCCAACTGGACAGGAGTAACGGCAACATTTGTCTTTGAAAGAATCTACAGTTATTTTATCTATCATGTGTATGCACCGTCCGTGATTGTGGTCATCTTGTCGTGGGTTGGTTTTGTACTCCCACGTGACACACCACCAGCACGCGTGACACTTGCTGTCACTGCAGTTTTGACGATTGTTACTATCCTCACTATGCTGAACAGTTCTATTGCAAAGGTAGGGAGGGTGGGAGGGTAGACAGAGTTTAAAGCAGAGCCGTACTAATTTGTTCGCAAATAACTTAGTTGTGAGCTATCCTTGTGGTTCAAGTTCACTAAACTTGCATAAGACATACAACAAATGCCTCATCAGACTCTAATTTTTAATACTGAAACACTGTCGTTCTAATAGTTCTTTTTGGTTTGCAGGTGAATTACGTCAAAAAGATTGACGTGTACCTCATTTGCTGTTTCTTATTTGTCTTTGCATCCTTGGTTGAGTATTCAATAATCTTACTTGTGTTATCACAAGTGAAAAAAATGCGGAAGAGGCTGGACGCGAATGAGAAGTTGTACAGCAGTGTAAGTCAACTTGCAGTCAGACGACTATTTTTAAGGTTAAGGTTAAGTAGTTAAACGATTCTTCTACACAATTTCGCCAAGCAATGGATTGTTAAGATAATCCGAAAAGAAATAGAGAGCAGCATAGTTACTCGTTACTATTATTTACCACAGTAGCCCACCATAGAAATTTCCTGCTTCGTGTTATTTATTTTGATTCCCATTATAACTATTTTAATTTGCTTTGTTGGTAGCATTGCTGTTGGTAGTATCGTCGCAGTTTTACTCTTTCTGTGCTCACCATTTTACTCCCCAATTCTGGACATTGGTTCTCATCTCTCGCCAAAAATTTCCATGATACCTCGAACCTTTCTGGGTTTCCCATGAAGATTCGAGTTATCGGAAGTCAAAATATCCTTTGAACTCGAGGCTTGTTTAACTTCCCTGCTGCATATTATTCCTTCAGTTGGTGAGCCAGAACCAGAGTAAAATGTTAAAAAAGAAACACGAAACCCTGCAGGAGAATATATTTTTGTTCATCGTGTCAACTGTTCAGCCCCGGCCAAACGATCGCAATCGTTCAATGCAACATATCCCAAAGTTGGCCACCCTGTTTCGACGTGTTGCGAAATGTTGAGTCGACGTGGCTAAAATTTGACCATTTTCAAACTTGAGCCAACAACACCCAACATGTCGCAACATGTCCCAACAGGGTGGCCAAACTCGCGCAACATGTTACTCCCAACAATGTTGCGATCGTTTGGTCAGGTCTTTATGCACCGATGTCTAAAACGTGTCTTCCTATCAAAAACAATTTCTAGCCATACACAAAGCATGGAAATCAAAAACAATTCCTGTAAACCATGTAATTCATATCATCACATTATATTCGCCCGTGCATTTCATGAGTTGGCTCACAGGGTCCTTTATTGTTCTATTAAATTATTATTCTTTACACAGGTAGAGGACAGTCCTGACAGCGACACGCATTCAAGCAGTCTCTTAACCCACAGCCGTAAGCGACTCAGGACCGCCATGTTCCTCATAAAAACTCGCATCTATACGGTTTCGTTTGTTTCTGCTCTGGATGATTATTCGCTTTATGTGTTTCCGGCTGGTTTTGCGCTTTTCAATGTTGTTTACTGGCTTGATACTTTTAAATGGATCTAATGCAGTTGCAGTCAGCAACTCTCTTCTAATTTCCTTTCTTTTAACGACTTCCAGCTCAAATCCAATGTATAATGAAACTTGCAGACTTATGAATACATGATCATCGCGGTTATACACTGTCACAACTTAGTAAGCAGCTGTGAAATTAAAGCCTGAAAAAAATGCAGGCCTGAAAGGGATTCGAACCCATGACCTCTGCGATACCGCTGTAGTGCCTACCAACTGAGCTATCAAGCCAACTGGGAGCTGGTCACTTTGTGAGTTCGTTGTATATACGATCAATCATGTCTTCATATCTTTCTTCGCAGTTCAAATATATGATCTTTCATATATTTTTCATATATTCACTTGTATTCTTTGTATTCTTCGCCATCTACGCCGGGTATATTACGAACTCGCAAAGTGACCAGCTCCCATTTGGCTTGATAGCTCAGTTGGTAGAGCACTGCACCGGTATCGCAGAGGTCATGGGTTCGAATCCCATTTAGGCCTGAATTTTTTTTACAGGCTATAATTTCACAACTGTTTAAGCTGTGTGTATAGCTGCGATGATCAGTCATGTCTTCATACTTTCCACTTGTAACCTGTCGTGGAGAGATAATGATCTATTGCTGACGCATAAAACGAAAAAGGTTAATACGCG